CACACAAGAGAGTGCATTTTAATTTGACACCCTTGTGAGAGAAATTGGCGCATGTGAACTGCCAGTTACCGTGTCGCTGGACCCGAAAACGTGAGTAGTTCCTGCTCTTTTACTACTACTACTACTACTACTACTACTACTACTACTACTACTACTACTACTACTACTACTACTACTACTACTACTACTACTACTACTACTACTACTACTACTACTACTACTACTACTACTACTACTACTACTACTACTACTACTACTACTACTACTACTACTACTACTACTGCTGTTATTATTATTTATTTGTAGTATTTTCACTGTTGCGATCGTAAATACATTGATTTTGACCAAAGTCAGCAGTCAGAAGTAATAGTTAAAACAACCCTCTATGTGAATTGTAAGTTATCGTGGATGGAAGCAGCAGATTCAACAAACTGGCAGTTGCACACGCATTTATTATTGTAAGATACCGCCAATGTGGAAACACTCCACTTAACCGTTTACTGAATCTGCCATTCCCATTATAAACCGAGCTGAACACACCCGAAAGACATTTCCAATAAAATGTACATTTCCTAGAGTCAATCTGTTATTATCACCAATCAATTGTTATTAATGCTTCTATTGTGGCGAAGTTATGACCTATTCTTCTTTTCAAAAAAAAAGGGTGTTCAGTTTGTATATAATTTAATTTTAACATGTAACTGACCATAGTAATAAAGGTCAAGGGTAAAAGATTGACCTTATTGTAACGGGTTTTATCCCAAATAGCCGTCTCTCTCTCTCTCTATCTGTGTGTGTGTGTGTGTGTGTGCGTGTCTCTCTCTTTCTCAGCAGAACAGTTAACCACACGCCGAAAGCGTCACACAGAGCACGAACTCCGAGTTACTGCCGACAATCCACAGGAATCTCCGTGAAAGTTGCACTCGTGAACTGAACACCATAGCCGTAAAACGAATAGACGACTTTCAGAGCGCGAGGCAACGTCTTGACCATTTCACCTCGAAGACCCCTGGCTGTAGTATAATGCACTCCAACCGTTACATATCTAACCCATATAAGTTAGGCATATGTTACAATCCCTAATATTCCACTGAACTATAGCGGCGCTTCTCACCCTGCCTTGTCGAACGACCCTTCTACAGAAGTCGCCTAAGACCGTCGGAAAACACATATTCTTTGAAGTTATGAAGGAAAATAATTGTTTGGGAGTAGCCACAACAAGAGGGAACTGTATTAAAGGGTTGCGGCATTAGGAAGGTGAAGAGCCGCTCAAATCTAATGTGATTCACTCCATAGGTTATCTCACTCATGTAAGTTAGGCATGGGGATAACATTCTTTAACATATCGTTGACTAAAGTAAACTACACTCTGTTTATTTCATATCTCACCCATGTAATTGAGGCATATGGTAATGTTCTTCAATATTCCATTGAACTATAGTGTTATTCAATCCATACTTTAATTACCTCACCTTTGTTAGTCTGACATGTGGCAAATATTCTTTATCAAGTCACTGTCACCGGGGCGCTCACGGGAAGCAGAGAATAGTGACACTGCACCCTACCAGGCATGTCGTAAGAGGCGACTAAGGGTAGGGTTGGGCTTGAGGTTGGCTACCTCCTCCTGTAAAAACCATAGCCACAAAAACAAACCAACCATGGTTAAGTCAAAAAGAGAAGCAAATAAAATCCAGCCAACCAAGATGAGGGGAGGCTCTTCAAATAGAAGTATGACACGGTGTGGAGAAAGCCGTAGAGCTGTAGAATGAAGTTAGAAAGATGGGGAGGACATGGGGAGAGCTCCACGCAATGGCGAAGGATAGAATGACTTGACATGAGTGGGTTGAGGGCCTATGCTCCATTGGGGGATAGAAAGGCAAAAGAAGAAGAAGAATTTCTTCAGTAAAACGCACTTTATTCGTCACATATCTCGTGTAATTTAGGTACTTGCTATCATATTTAGGATGTCATTAGACTAGAAAGAAAAATCCACGTTGCTTGTTACATATCTCATGTTATTTAGACGTGTGCTAAAATCTTTACGATGTTATTGGACTACGTAAAATTCCACCTCATTCATTGAACACCTTCTGTAATTTAGATATTTGCTAACATCTTCAAGCTGTCATTGGACTAAGGAAAAATCCACTTGTTTAGACAAATGCTAACATCTTTAAGACACCATTGGACTAAAAATAAGTTAAACTTTTTTTACTTATGTTGTTTAGGTATATGCTACAGTTTTCATTACACTATTGCATTTTTGAAAACGCATATACTACATTTGAAATATTTAGTGTAGTTTAATTATGGTGTATGATTCTTTAACACATCATTGAAATACAGTAAAACACACTTTATTCGTCATTGGACTACAAACACATTAATTCAGTGTAATAGTTAAATGTGGCATGTTATTTAGTCACGTGCTAACATCTTTAAATGTCATTCAATAATGAAATTTATTCTTTATTTGTTACAAATTTCATTTTATTTAGGCCTGTGCTCATAGCTTTAAGGTGTCATTGGACTACAGACAAATACATCAACTTGAATAATAGTTGCATGTGAAATGTTATTTAGGCAAGTGATAACGTCTTTAAGATGTCACTGGACTAAAGAAAAAATTCAACCATTTTTCGTTACGTGTTATGTACATATGCTACAATTTTTAATGCATTATCGAACGTTAGAAAACTCCATTCTATACGTTACATATTTCGTGTAATGTAGGCATGGTTTATGATTATTTAACACACCAGTGAACTATAGTAATACCCACCATATTCGTTAAAAATCGTATGTTATTTAGAGACGGGTTATGATTCTTTAACACATCACTGAACAAAAGTAAAATCCACTTTTTACGCCTAATATCTCACCCATGTAATTTAAGCATTTGGATATGGTCCATGGTGCTGTACGTCTGGCTTCATCTACACTAGACGGCATCCGGGTACTAGCTTCAGGATAGATGTTGTCCTGTATGTATAAGGTTGAACCTGTTCCCTCTATGGCGAACTCATCAGCTGTGCGGCCAGTAGTGCATATTTTTGCTGCCATAAATTCGAAACAAAATATACTGCATTGTAGTCGGTGAATAAGCTTAGGAGTACTGGTATAAGCTTACTGAATTACAAGAAAACTGGTAATTAAAAAGTTTGCACATATATATGTGTGTGTGTGTGTGTGTCGGGCCTGTGGCTAAGTCGATGTGAACGCTTCATAATGCCGGGATGCCGGGTTTGATCCCAGCTGCGGACCATGCGCCTTGCGTTGGTTTCGACAGTGGTATCAAGAAAACCGACCGTCCAGAAAGAAATGGCAAACTACTGGACGTAAATTTGCCTAGAAAAACCACACAAAAGCCAGGGGCTGCTGGCAAAGTCCTGTAAAAGGATACGCAACTAACCAACCATATATATATATATACACACACACATACACACATACAAACGTATACACATTTGGATTTAACTAAAGGCTTCACCAGAGATAATAAACGACTGATCTAATAATCCGTCCTCTATCTTATCTTGGTCCCCACCGCGGCCCAGTGTGGGTCTAATGGGAACTCCAGGAAGGGGGAAACACAACATGAATATTCTGTCTTCAGGTTCCTCTTAGACGCCCTCGTTTCTTCAACCGGTTAGTGTCCCATTTCAGTACATGTTTAGTGAATCTCTGCTCGTCTCTTCTCAGAATTTTCTGTAGCCAACAATTGTGTAGAGGGTATGGGAGCCGGCCAATGAGCCATGACCAAAGGCTTAACTGACAGAAGCCCTTTAGACTGTTTCTTTCTCCTCTGGTCTGGGCTACCAGCTACTTAGCGCCCTTTGGAGTGTTGGCGGCCGTTGAGGTTGGGAGAAGCGCCAACTATGGAAATAACTTGTCTAGGAGGTTGCTACCACTTCACCCCGGGTCGTGACTCTGGGATATAATTCTGTCTGTTAGCAGTTTCCCAAAATTTGACCTGTAAAGCAACCCTTCCTCTAACGCCGGATATCCCCAATGTGATCTTAACACCGACAGAGGGAAAACAATGGACTAACTCATACGCTAACTCGCTCTCAACGTTAAAGTAAAAAGGACCTTTTCCCACGCCTTTAAATTATTGGGCATAAAGGGTTAGACCAGTACTTCATAGACCAAATTGTACTTTGTGGGTGATGTGGTCAGCATCACGCCGGCCGCCTTTACTTTCTAGGACTGTACCTGTTACCCACTCAAGGTTGGGTTGACATGGAAGCCAAAGTTATTTTTAAAGAAACGACGAGCGCCTATCAGGACCTGAACCAAGATCTTCCGATCCACAGGCGAGTCTAGCCGCTAAACCACAGCGGCTACCCCTGATCGTTGTCACTTTAATATTTTCCATTCCATAATTCTTGCGTTCTTGAGTAATAATTGTGAATCTTCAAGATTTTACATTTTTTAAATACATTTTTCTAAATGACTGAGTTACTGCAACAGCGAGAACTGAGTCAGTCAACGATACTGAAAAACGAAACAGACAAGGTTAATATATGGGTAATATATATTTTGTAACTTATTTTAGCACTCAATTAATATATGTAAGCAGGTACAAGTAAAGATCCCTTTTCACGCCTGTTAGGCCTATCAGGTGTATGGGAAGAGTGCCCATATTTGTACAGACCATCGGCACTAGGTGGATAATGTAGTCAGTAATGTAGTATTTACTTCCCCAGGACAGCCATCCTGGTACCCATTTTAGTCTGGGTCGACATGCAACTCCACACACCATGATAAAAAAGAAATCCACTCAGCCAGCTATGGGTTTCGATCGCAGTACGTTAGAATTACAAGTCAGACTCGCAAAGCCTAAGAATAAATATATGGTTGGTCTCTGATACAATAGAAAACAATACTAATAAAAATGTACTTACATGGGTCTGTGAAGTAAGCAGTCAAAACAGAACGGCCTCCCTCATCTATAAAGGGCGGCTTGAGTTTAAGTGGGGGGTATGTAGATGTTGTGGGTATCTGCAAGTTAAAGAAAAAAAAAAATTTTCTCATACATTCTAATACACACACACACTTATATATATATATAGTATATATATATATATATATATATATATATATATAATATATTTATTTATATATATATATATATATATATATATATTATATATATATATATTATATATATATATATATCATCATCATCAAGTGCCTTGCCGACTGGCGTGGGCGATCATGCCTCTCTATAATCTGCGATCTCCTGCCGTCACGAACATATATATATATATATATATACTTTTAGTTACACCAATGTTTCAGTAATGACTTAGCTAACTACTGTAAACTTTCTACATAGAGCTTTAATAATTTGAAGTTTAAAGTCCAGAGTAAAATTAAAGTAAAGGACCCGTTTACATGCCTTCAGAAAGGGCACTTGGTGGGTGATGTGGTCAGGACTGTACCTGGTACTCACTCAAGACTGGTTCGACTTGGAAGCTAAGAGTATTTTTTTTAAGTCCGGTCCCTCTCAGACCTTCTGATCCGCAGGCTAACGTCTAGCCGCTAGTCCAAAAAGTGATTTACCTGTGAAATTATACGTGGAACTTAATTTGCTGTATGGCATTGAATCTAGGTATTTATATATATATATATTTTTTTCATTTACCAGCTGTAAACTCTGAAGGAAATTCCTGGTTGTTTGTCCATTTTGAATTTGGCATTATGACTTGAATTGTTGATCTAAATCAACTTCACTGGCTTATGTAGGTGCAGTGTGTAACTATGGAACAAAAGTAAAACGTATTCTTTTTTCCTTTCACAAGAAGAGGAGAGTTGGAGAACATCGTTATAATAGAAATATCAACAGTGGAGGAAGCAGGCAAATTATGTTAGGTGTTCACGACTGACGTATCAGTCGGAGCTGTCTGGATCTAGAAAGGAAAAAAAAAGGAAGGGTGGGGGGGGGGGTGTTGCCATTGAAGAATACAAACTTTTTGTGCCGGGTCGCAAGTCTTCGTGTCTGCCTTGTACATGAATAATTAACATAGAATCAAAGTTGTCTTGTCAGCTTTTCTGCTGGATATTTAAACGAAATAGAGACATTCATATCTGCAGGATATATACATGAATTGGAATTGTTCATCTCAGCGTGTCTGCAGGATATGTAAATGAATTGGAGATTTTCATGTCACAATCTCTCCTCTCCTGGATACATAAATGAACTTAAGATTTTCATGTCAGTGTATCTGCAGGGTTTGGAGATTTTATCTCAGTGTGTCTGTACGATATAAAAATTAATTAGAGATTTTTAAGTCAACGTGTATGCTAGTTATAAGGCGTTGTGAAATCGTTAGAGATTTGTAAGTTCGAATGAAGATCTCGGACTTAGTACACACCTACTGGAAATTTTTATTAAGGATGCAAGGAAAAGCTGTCTGTGGGGCTTTAAATAACAAAAAATTGCATCCCACATATTGACGACTTCTGGATGTTTAATCCAGGGCAAAATGTTTCCTTTATGCAAACTCCTTTTTTTATAGACCAATGAGTGGTGCATTACGCCAGCCAACTTTACTTCCCTAGATCATTACCTGGTACCATTTGAGGCGCCGTCCACTTAGGGGCCACGGTCACTTTTGTTCTAATTCGCACAATGCTGATGACAATAGAAAACCTTTAGGCGGGCATTCGAAGAGCTAGCCACCACGCTTTTGTGGCTCCCCAGACTTTAGAAAAAAAAAATGGAATTTGTCTTGGTTATATTTAGTGTGTGCTGACATTGCATGAACTAACGTAAATGTATACACGGATGAGTCCAGAAAACAATCATAAAAATACCGCTGTTTGAATTCCAGCGATGTAGCCCTTGATATCAAACAGCAGTATAACTGTGTAGTCACTGTCTTGGATATATCGCCTGCCTCTCCACTTCGCCGTCACTGACGAAAAAGATTAATAACAGCAAAGGTTTGTTTCACATTAATTAGATACCAAATATTTCGGATTTAAGACACACATAAAAATACGGCAACTGAAAACATGATAGAATTTTGAAAAGCACTTTCATGAATTAATCAGTCAAGTAAATCAGGTGTTGTCACCACAACGATGGTTTGTCTCTATCATCATCATCAATTATTTTTATGCCTAGCTGCGCATTAGGCTTCAGAGAGGTCTTTCCATGCTTTCCTGTCCTGTGCAATCTTCAGTGCATTTTTCCATGTAATAGATGCCGCACTCATGTCACTTTACATCGTTCGTCTTCATGTTGATTTTGTGCGCCCTCCCCCTCCCCCCTCCGCCCTCTTTGGTATCCATCTGAGAGCTGTTTGGCAGGTATATAAGAGGATTCATTCTCATAAAGTGACCAAGCCATTTCCATCTTCTCTTCGTTATCATACTATCTAGAATTTCTTGGTTTGTGACTAGAAGTAGTTTAGTGTTTGAGATGTTGGTCTCAATGGGTCTCCAAAACGCTCTGGCTCACGAATAAGGAATCTGAAAAGACTATAATGATTAAACATCCTGAGTTGGTTCCGTGGCTCTTTTTCTTACAGCTCATGCCTAATGGCGTTAATAGTCTTATCTATCAAAATGTGTTGTCTCTTGTACTTTCAGTCAGATCCAACAAATGATCTTCCAAGCCATGATGCCATACTGTCTAGCATTTTTCCCTTTCTAATTTTCCCATTGTCATGATTTAACCCAATTTTCTCCTTCTCATAGCATGACCCAAGAATGTAGACTGTCCCCTTCAGGGGTGAGCAGTCAGTTTTCTTTGTGAGTGAGTTCCTTTCAAGACATCTTTATTATTCTTTTTTTTTTTTCTTTTTCTTGGATATTCTCATCATTCGTTGTTAACACCCTATTTCCACCGTTTCTAAATAATTTTCCCTTCATCATCCAACTGTCCGTGATTTACTTTCGTATATTAGTGTAGCATTTATAAAGCTCTTTCGTATTCTCTGTCTCATCACAGAATCACAACACATCAATTCGCAAAAACAGATTAGTTAGTTAGTGGACAGATTATCCTCATTGTACATCGAACCATTCAAGAAATAAGTATTCGCATCCCCTCCTTAGAAAATCCCCCAGCATGTAGCTGCTCGCGGCACCAGTTCTGTATTGGTTTTTTATTCTTCTGTGGCTTTCCTAGTTACATCCCAGATTCGAGGGTGATCACACACACTCTTTGCCATGTAATAAACAGGTGCTACAATCAGGTCGACCCATCCGGAAAAAATGCATTCATGGCCTTGTCTGTCTTCAAGTGAGTGTGGGACATTAAGTGATTGAGACCTGGTGCCACCTTTCGGATGAGATCGCCCGGGCACAAGTCCCATAAACCCTGTTCAATTGTTAGGTTATTTTACATCACCACACTCCAGCTCGCTCAACACTCGCTTGATATTCGGCTGAGTTTGTCTCGACTACGCTATCGGTGTCATCTGCGTTTGGGTCATTAGCAGCCCGTGAGCACATCATTGTTGAGGAGCCAGTCGTAGCATCCATTTTTGAAACGATTGTCTCGTGAACTGCGGAGAAAACACGCTTGGGGTCCTTTTCAGAACACTTAACAAGCCTTGTCGACTCTGCAGGGATCGAGCTTTCGTGATAGACCGCAATTGACTAGCATTGTTTTTTCCATCATGGGAAAAAAACAGGCGCAAGCAGCCGCACCTACACCAAAGAAGAGACTGGCCACACCCGCAGCGTCTCAACCAGCATCACAGGAAGGCGCCCTATCGCGGCGCCTCGCTCACCTATGCCAGCAACTGAAGCCGCCCCCATCGTGGCGCCAGCACCAGAAGCCTTCCCTATCGAGGAGCCAACACCTGAAGCCTCCCCTATCGTGGAGCCACCACTTAAAGCCGCCCCAGTCGTGGCGCAGGAACCTACCAGCACCCGCCTACCAAAGCAGCAGCCTGGAGCCCACACCACAGACATCATGCAGTGCTCACGCTGCAACAGGGCGTGGCACACCGCCGCGACCTGCCGCAGTGGCTCTATTTGTCGGTACTGCTCGGGTGCCCACGACTTCAAAACGTGCCCCCTGGCAAAAATCGACCAGTGGGCCAAACAACAACTGCACAGGCGCTCACAGCGCGAGGTATCTGGGATGCCCGTACCTCAAAGACATTAAGAGAGGGGCACCCAGTGCCGTTCGCCCAGACTCGACCAAAAGGTACCGGGCACCCAGACCAACCAGCCCGACTAGCACCAACCAGCCGAGTAGCCAGGCCGAACTCATGCGTGTGATCACGGAACTTAAAGCCGAATTGCAGCAGCAGAAAGCCATAGCCACAGCCGAGAAAGCCGAAACGCACGAGCTAATCTCCCTGATGCTGGGGAAGATTAAAGCCTTGAAAGAGGACAGAATAGCCCACACAGCGCAACAGCTCGAAAGCAAGAAGCACGATGCAGAAACTATAAACAATATAAAGACACTGATTGCAAGCTTGGCAGTAGCACAGGCAGCAGATGAGAAGCGCAGACAAGAAGAGAGGGAGGAGAGAAGCAGAGAGATGGCCGTGCTGAAAGAGGCGAGAGAGGATACATATAGAGAAGTCACCCGACTGATTCAGGCGAAATCAGAAGCAGAAGTGGCAGAGATGACAGCCAGAGCAGAGCACGCCGCCTACAGAGCGAACTAGAGAGAGCCGCCAAGCTACAAAATGACAGCAAGGCCGACAAAAGTACAGCGACAAATACCGAAGAGGAAAAAACTATCCAGCCAGATGGAGTAACCGTATCCGAAGTTACAGAGGCGACCCCAGCCGCAGAAGAAACCAAAACCTGTACAGAAAGCAACGAGACGGCAGCCGTGAGCTGAGAAGCGAGGCCGACCTCCTGAAGAGGTTGCAAGACTATAACGAACAGATACACCCGCACAAGATCGAGCTCGAGAAGAACCGCTATTGTATCTCATTTGATCAAAAGGAGCAGGATAGAGTACAATTGCTACCCGATGTGGAAAGGCAAGCCTTCTACAAAAAAATCTGCGGCTTCTGCGAGGTGATAGAAACAGCCAATATAACGTTGAGGGAAGCAAGATGGAAGCAAAGGAGCCAGGGTACGCCAAACAGACGTTACTGCAAATATTGACAGAGCCAGCAGCCAATTGAAACCACCAAGCCGCCATGACACCCAGTTCCCGTGGAACAACCCAGTCCCAATAACGCGAGGAAGCACAGCCAACCAGATTGACCACTCCCACCCTACCCGTTCCAGGCCACCCAGGCACATATGGCTGTCCTTTTCAGGACTGCCATGTCCACTCCCAAAAACCGCTAGCCGCCCGCCAAGCCCACGCTGCTGACATGATGCAACAAATGAAACATCATCGCCACAAAAGAAAGAAACATAAGCTCAGATAGCAAATAACCAGTCCTTGATAAAACAGGCAATCAGGCAGTTAAAAAAGGACAAAGCTTATCTTTTTTGTTTTCTTCCAACGAACGAACGAACGAGGTTATTTTAGGGTCCCGTCAATAGCCACGGTGAGGCTGTAAAATAACCAAAAGTTTGCTTTCAAAATGAGGCCGGCCCAGTTGTAGGAGTATTGAATTAAGGTCGACATCTGTCTGTCGGTCCATTTATAACCCCCCCCCCCCCCCAGCCCACGCCCAAAAATATCGACCAGGTTCAACCTACTGCTAGCCATATCGGCTATAATTGTGGTCTGGTTTCTTTGTGTCAAGTACTTTGGCTAAGAAGTGTTAATTGCAACAAAATCAGTGGCTTGGACCGGTACTCTAGTATCTGGTGATAGTTGTCGGGGAGGGTGCTGGTATGCATGATATAAATATATGATGTACATGTACAGTTGTGTATGTATACCACACAAGCGTGTTCACGACCACTTGGAAATGCGTATATACATGTGTGCATACACACACATGTCCATCTATATACGCACATACACTCAAGGGAACCGCCGTGGTGTAGCGGCTAGACGCTTACCTGTGTATCGGATGGCCGTGGGTTCAGATCCTGATGGAGCTGGATTTTTAATTCTTAAAAAATAACACTGGTCTTTAAAGAAGACAGGGCCAGATAACAGGCATTCGCCGACACCCAAGGAGATTCCAATAATGATATTGATACTTAGCGCTATGGTACAGGGCTCACCCAAGGAATACTTACAAACTGCAAATGACTGTTCAAACTCACATATAAAAGTTGTATCTCCAACGCCTTGCAGGTTGTAGGCACCTTAAGGAACTAGTGGAAAGCAGCTTTATGCTGTCATCGTAAACAAAGACACTTTCCACATAAATGTCTGAGTTATATAACAGTACATAACATTCAGGATCATTTCGCTCCATTTCAAGAAGTCCACATAATACAACGTCTTCTGTCTGGGTTTCAACACTCGAATGTGTATTGGCCTTTGGTATAAGACATGTAAAAGTAGGAAATGCAATGTTTAAGCACCAGCAAGGAAATCAAGATTACAGTTTCATGGCATTTATCTTCACTGTAGTCATTAATAAAGAAATTATGAGTTTTTAAGTTGAAATGCTAAAGACAGGTTCTCGTAATAGTATTAAGGTGAGGAAACTGAAATATTTTGACAATTTTAACTTCCACGAAGGACTGGAAAGAATAGTAGCGGAAGCGGTAGCGGAAGACAGGTATCTAGGAAAGACAAGCAGAGGCCAACCAGCGCGAAGACATTTGAATCCAAGTTACCATTCGGCAGGATTTTTACCTGTTTGACAGAATCGAAAATATATTAAGAATTATCATGAGCGGACTTAATAACTTTTCCAGTCAAATTTTTCATTGATTGTCATCGCCCATAATAAGTGATAGGAATTCTTTTTGTCCGGCAGCCATTATTATGAAGTGGCTTTTATCCCAGAGCCTTACTGCTTTGTGCATATTTATCTATTTCTGGAGATACATGTATATTTGCGTATATATATATATGAAAAATGTAAAAGGGATGTTTAGTTCAGTTGCATAGAAAACTTACAGTCACAGTCTCCTATCTTTGTGAAACCTCTAATGACAGCTTGGTGTTCAGTTCTTGAAAATTTGACGAAGTAGTTCGGGTTTGTCACGTTCTGATTCCACTGCACTGTATTAGCAATGTATAGTTTTGTTATTATTGAATATATATGTATAAATATATATAAGAAAGAAAGAAAGAAAGAAAGAAAGAAAGAAAGAAAGAAAGAAAGAAAGAAAGAAAGAAAGAAAGAAAGAAAGAAAGAAAGAAAGAAAGAAAGAAAGAAAGAAAGAAAGAAAGAAAGAAAGAAAGAAAGAAAGAAAGAAAGAAAGAAAGAAAGAAAGAAAGAAAAAAGAAAGAAAGAAAGAAAGAAAGAAAGAAAGAAAGAAAGAAAGAAAGAAAGAAAGAAAGAAAGAAAGAAAGAAAGAAAGAAAGAAAGAAAGAAAGAAAGAAAGAAAGAAAGAAAGAAAGAAAGAAAAAAAGAAGAGCTTGCATAATAGAAATATAGGAGTGGTCTTCTGAATTCAACAGAAGATTATTTTCGTTGTGCCTTTTACAGCATGGCTGTAATATTAGCCCCATTCGGACGACACATCCGATTTCTGCAGACATTTATTTGCCCGAGCTAGCCTTGCCGGTGATAAGATGGTTATACTATAGGATCGGAAATGAAGACAAAGAAGTGTGAGTTAGGGAGAGAAGGAAAGGAATACGAAAACCAAAGCAACAACGGAACCATTAGCATTTAACAGCAGCATAAATGTTAATGTTTCGTTTATGAATAATATGTGCAATAGGTGTAATAATAAGAAGAACACAGGGTAGCACTACAGCAGGATTCTACCTATCGTCGGTAGAAGATTCCTCGTCGACAACTGTTTCGACCTCTTACCTCCTAGACAATTTCAGAGGGTGGGCCGACCTGGGTCATGACCACAAGGCCTTAATCTATTCCTGCTGCACTTTACCGGATGTTCTCGGACAGGGACTAGACGAAATGGTGACTATGCAACGGGTACTGTGAGATTCGAAGTTATCAAATATTGTCGCTGGCAGCCACCTTAATTACCGACCAAGAGACACGCTCACAGTCGGTTCATCGGACACATGTTAGACTTTGGCAACTGGCAGAGGGACACTGGCAGACATCAGTCGAACACTTTGGCTTTCAAGCAATAAGAAGCTCAGTTCGTCCAGGGAGTCGGACCAGTCTACTGAAGACCATCCCCCACGACGTTCCGTTGTGTCCAGAGCGAGCTGGAAGCTCTTTCAACAGCTTCGCCCAATTGTTTTAGTGATCGTTTACACTCGTTTCCTCGTAGGCCTAGCTGATTTAGCTCATTGTATTTGGCAGAGAAGATAAGACCTCTTGGGCCTACTTCGCGGCGAAGACTTTTTACTGAGTACGCGTCGCCTGTCCTTAGACCGGCAGCGAGCTCACAGTATTTCTCGAGCTTGTACATGTTATTTTCGTCCATTCGCGACTTATACGGCATGGTCAGCTTGATCAGGATGAGCTGACGTTTTTTCCGTATAAGGAAAGACTATGTCAGGTCTCAGGCCGATCACCCGGATTAACTCTGAGTACCTCTCGAAACTAGGCAAGAGATGAATTTAGTTTCATATTAATATTCGCATCTTGCAATAATTTTCTGTCTGTCATTTTACTCTGTGAATTCTGCTTGTTTATACTTTGTTTTGTATTTGTTAAATCTGAGCCAAGGTATTTAAGGGCTGCTGCTAATATCGTGTACCTAAGTGTTTTCGTAGCCAATACAGCTCCAGTGTCTTCAGTGTTTCCCCTTTCACGGAGCTCAGTCTTTACGTCGTTTTTCGGACACTGTACCCTCCATGACGGTTTTCTCCACGCTACCTTGAAGTTTTTAACATGGTCAGCATGCCTTAGCTTTCGGGACAGGGTGCTGTTTATGAGCCAGTTCTCCTTGATGCTCAGATTATGTAATGTGTCGATTTTTTTTTTCTAATTAACTGACTTAGTTGCCTTTTCCACATCTTTAGCCTATCGTGCATGCAGGGCTAGACCTATCTGTATATACCAATCGGCACTCAGTGGGTTATGTGGTTAACATCACACCCACCGCCTTTAATTCACAGAACATCACCTGATACCTATTTAAGGCTGGGTCGATCTGGAAAACAAGGTCATTTTTGAAAAGATCACATCACCTACCAAGTGCTGATTGATATATAAAATAAAGGTCTAGCACTAATGCACAATACGCCTGAAGGCGAAGAAAAAGAGTCCTTTACTTTTACACTTACTATATTATGACAATGATGATGCTGACAATGATGATGATGAACCGTACAGCAATCACAAATAACCTTTCACGTAGTATTTTCTCCTATAGACCCAGACAGCTCAATTAATCAGGAATTCAAGACATACAAAAAACACATACCTCTGAGGCCATCCCATTTGATATCTGGGCATAGAAATAGAAATACAAATGTACGAGTAATTTGTTTGAAGCATTCTAAAAGAGATACGAATGTACAAGTAATTTGTTTAAAGCATTCTAATACAGATATGAATGTACGACTAACTAGTCTGAAGCATTGTGATAGAGATACGAATGTACGAGTAATGCATTTAAAAGTTGTTAACAGGCAGAAAAAAATAGGTGAATATACTCATTGTTATGTTCCTGTTGATTTCTTCTTTTATTCCCTAGAGTAGTGCTTACCGTTCTTGTTCTTTGTGTGTGTGTGTGTGTGTGTGTGTGTGTGTGTGTGTGTGTGTGTGTGTGTGTGTGTCTTGCCTCAGGTAAGCTTCCCTAAAATGCGTATGGCCTACTATATAACTTAAAATCTTGGACGTCTATTTTTAAGTGTTCCCCCCCCCCCTTACCCCCCGCCACCCCTCCTAAAAAATTCACCCCCCCCCCCCCCGGTTCAACAATCAGAGTGATGGGGTGAAAAAGCGGAAAGAACCGAATTATGGAAACGATTTTACCTAATCAATCAATTGTTTTGAACTTACCTAATACACAATTTGCAAAATAAGCTGTCAAGATGAGAACAATCAATCCCATTCTCTTGTCTTCTGTCTTCGCTACCCACAGTGGTGTGGTGTTACTCAAACGATAACTGATCACGCAGGTGCTGAAAGAGAAACTATGCCTCAATGTGTTATATTATATCATTATTGTATAACAAAAATATCATGTACCAACTGTAAATAAATTAACATTGAAACCCGCACTCACAATGTTATTTCTGTCAGACCTTTTGATCCCCACGCTCCACCTAAGATTTTCTGAGAAGCAAATAGTAGCGGTACTATTAAACATGTCGTAGGAGACAATTATTGAGAGTTTGTCATGGGTTTGCTAGCCCTAATTTCCTACCTCACTGTACTTCGAGTGTCTTAGAGGTCCGCTAAACGTTTCTGCATAACAATGAATTTTTTTTTTAATTTTTTATTTAATTTAAGTAAAAAAATTGCTATACAGCGGTGTCAGGGGAAAAAACACAACCTAAACAGAGAAATCAAATAGATGATGTTACATCGTTTAAATCTAATTGAAACAATTATTCAGACACCTTTATCTAATTTTCTGACCTCTGCTCAGCAATAGATGTCGCACTGACTGAAAATTGTTAGCTTGTGGCATCAGATTTATCAGATGAACTATCTACGTTTATTATTGTTTCTCTTTTGCTTCTTTTTCAGACACGAAAATCTTCTAGAATTTGGACCTGGACTGAATTTGGAAACGCGTAGCAGGTAACACCAGACATAATGTTATTTGTTGGAATTCATCAAAGCAAGGTCCAAAAATGTGTTAATTTTCATGAAGAAATAATCTCATTCAAACTTTGAATATAATATAAGTACTAGAATCTATCTAGCAGGCAAACCATTTCGGGTAATATTCACTTCACTTGAAAACAAGTGTCTTATCCTTGCACACTTTTACTGTCAACAGTCAAACAAAACTGCCCGTGTAGCCACTATCCCAGACAAGTACAACAGTGGATATTTGGCGGTCTATTTATTAAAGCTACACGGAACATGGGATTGAGATTGGGGGGGGGGGGGAACAAGCCATGCTGTTCTTCCAATTAAACAACGTTTTTTTTTTTATTTTTATAAATCACCTGCCCCTAATAAGTCATTTTCTCATTGTTAATTAATGTTATCATTTGTATGAGGGTTTTAACTACAAGGCATAAATTATGTGCCTGGGTTTAGTTGAATGGTATCGATTACGAAAGATAATGTATGCAGGAACAGGATCGAGTAATGAATAACTCGAGCAAGTGGGCGAGTTGGATGAAGGTGTGCGAGGTGAAGACAAGAAACTTGGGTTAGTTTGATGTTAGTCTCCCCAAAAAAAGAATAGGTCACTTTTCATTTACAATTTTGTTGGGTTACGGGTGTGTCCCGCTCTGTTGTTTGGTTTCTGTGATATTTTACGTATGCATTTACGTATTCGTTCCAAGAAAGAGAATGCCTGGTTGTAGCACTCTCTAGGGGTGTTGTGTTAAAGCCAGTTTCTCCATCTTTTTAGAGTGTTGAAAGAACTGGCGTGCTGAAATATACAACACATGATATCAACGGCATTGAAGAACACCCCGTAACCTTGTGCGAAGGTGAAATTCGAGAACTCAGTATGGTAACAGATTATATAAATTTGGAATGATCGATAAGATGTTGTCTTCGCCGGATCGCTGATCCGGTCGTCCTTGGATATTTATATCTCTGGTGCGTTGATGTGGAAGGACAGTTGTTGGAACCAATAAACATTTCGTATCTGATCAGTGGTGTGGCGTTTCCAGCGTATTTTGTTTCGTGTTCAAGATTGTGTTGAACTATCAATCAATGTGCCCGAGAAGGCTACAAACGACTAGAGCCTGAGAGAGTCGTTGCATATCCACTTTAAAAACAGCTTTAAAAAAAAACAGCTATGTGCTTCTAATCAAGCGGTCACGTGGAGCGAATTTGTCCGCTACTAAAAGATTAAGATAAAACAAATTTATTGACACTTGACGATATAAATAATGTTGAACATTATAATTGCTAAAGTAATATTATATTACATTTGTTTGAAGTATTAACACAAGAAGAAAGATTAGGTGGTAATAAACTGAAAGCGTTGAGGTTTTAGGTCTACACATAATTATAAAATCCTAACTTATAGATATGGTATGCATCAACATTCCGGTTATGTTAGTTCTTGCATGCGCTTGTTTGTTTTTATCGTTGCATTTGTGCCATTTATTTTTACACTGGTGTAATGACTGCTTACCCACACAGGCGACAAGTAGTATAGAGGCTAAGCTTTCTTTTATTTATTTTTCAACATTAGCAGCATTTGTTGGTCGTCCATGACAGATGATGGTGACTAGTCATTTCATCCAGCTTCATGGACCATAGGTCCTCGATGAAGAGAGGAGCGCCACGATGAGCTGTCACATGCAGCGACTTTCCAGGTTTTAGGATCGATAGAGAAGTCTTGTATTGAAGTCTTGAGGTTGTCCTTTAAACCTTTTCTTTTTCTGCCCACATTGAGAGCGTTTTCCCTTTTGTAGCTCACCATAATTTTTTTTTTTTTTTAGTGGGGGGGGGGGGGGGGGAGCAAACCGTGGTCAGGCAATCGGACTTTATGACATGCCCAGGAAAGTTGTTTTAGAATCCAGTACATACGGGACAGCCCAGCTCTGTCAAGGACTTCATTGTGAGGGATGCTGTCTTGATATTTTATGTTCAGCAACTTTCAGAGGCACACTGTGTGGAAATAGTTCATCTTCTTAGCATGGCACTAATAAACGTTTCACATGCATAGAAAAGTACAGGAAGTACGACAGCTTGGTAGACTTTGAGCTTTGTCTACAGGCTAATCCCAGCTGTATTCCAGACTTTTGTACGAAGCTACCAAATGCGCTGCTGGCTTTGGCTATCCTTGTATTGATCTCTAGATCGATGTTAACTTCCGGAGCCAGTAAGCTGCCAAGACATGTAAACCTGTCTACTGTCTTAAATGCTTTGCTCTTGGCTGTGATGTTTGCTTCAGGTAGACTTGTTTCTCCAGCTGGCTGGAAAAAAAACTGCAGTTTTGTCAGTGCTTATGACAAGCTTAAAGTTTGTACAGGCTTCGGATAATTTGGTTACACTAAATTGTAGTTCAGGCTCTGAGCTGGCACAGATAACACAGTGGCCAGCGAAGAGCCATTCTCTAATGGTGTCTGACTTTACCTTGGTTTTAGCACTTCATTTCCGGAAATCAAATAGACTGCTATCAGTGTGATATTTGATATCGATATCAGCATCCCCATCTCTGAAGGAATCAATCAGGATTGCCAGCTCCAGATAGAGGACTTGACACATATCCCCTTAATTAGACCACAAATTATGTTTTGGCCGGGACAGTATCGATGTTTTCTGTTTTTAGGCGAACCCAGACCCTCCCGTCGATACTCAACTTTGATAGGAACACATTTTTTTAAGTATTGACGGAACTGTCTGGATCTACCTAAAAACGATACTGTCTGGACGATACGGTCACTCTACCCTTGGTGTCCAGAGGGGGTGGAACATTTTGATCTATAGGTGAACAACTTGTATTAAAGCTGGGGAGAGTTAATATGAGCAGATGTGAAAACCTTCAGATTTTGGACATTATATTAAGGTGCCATTTTTTTTTTAAACGAAACAAACCATTCCTTTTCTGCATATTTAGCATTAGTCTGTAATATACTCGAAGCGCTGTCGTCACTTGGAAGTGAATGGTTTAATCCTAGGCATGTTGACTTTAGCTCTCGAATTTTTATGTAGTTCAATGGGTCCTTCTAGATCTTGACTTCTTTTTATTAGTGTCGATCACTATATGTCTTTTTTTTTTTTTTTTGCGGCTCTCCTTCAAACCTGCCCCAGGTATAATGGCGGCCAAACAAATACCCTAACAGGGCCTTAGTCATGCGAAAATTGCGGACTTCCTGCGACAAACACATCGCGGCAAAACTAGGATTGCTTGACAATTTCAAGACACGGAACATTGCAGACGATAGTAGCAGATGATAATAGCCACCGTTGACAATTTCGAGACACGCAACATTACAGACGATAATAGCGACATGGCGGGGAGACCACGCGCTCCGACGCAGATAAGCCTCGTTGTTGTCCTCACACTTTCCGGCATGCACAAAACGCAGTTAAACTCATCGCCGACACTATCCGCGCGCCGCTACGCGCGGCGCGGATTGGGATCTAAACTAGATGCCCGGGACTCACGAGCAAATACATTGGAGGAAGTTGCAGGAGATGCGGTAGCTGCTGCCCGTCAGTCCCAGCCATGTAGTTTAGCCTCCCCCCTCCCCCCTATTCTCACCGCGCGTAGCGGCGCGGGGGATACTGTCGGCGGGGCGGCATAGTCGCAGAAACAGGTCCGCAATTAACATATCGCTGAGACACTTCTCGTTGGCTCTACTGGGCGTAACTATGTTGTACAACGTAGGAAGGAAATATATAATATGGGAAGGGGGTGAACTAATTGCTCACTACAAGAGGAGGAAAATAATCGAGAACTTCATGACAATGTTTAATTTGTGAAGTGTGAAGAAAGGAGCAGCGGTGGGGGAGGGTGTTCGAAGATGTTGAGAATGCCCAGATGACTATGCCAGATCAATGGACAGACAAGAGCAGAGACCTAATCCGTGTGTTTTGGATTACGAAATATAACCGCTTGCGCTTACTGACAGGGCATCTGAAGACAATTACTTTTTGTGGAGAATTACCCAACCCCCACCCTCCCTCCCATCCACCCCTTTCAATAAAAAAAAAATTGCAGCAGTAGGTGAAAACAGTTCGGGAATTTATGACGTGAAGTATCGCCCATCATAACTGCGATGTTAATAACAAGCGGGCTTCATTTGCAATTCTTGAATTGACTACAATCAACAAAACACCTCTTATTTATTCATAGTGTGAAAAATGTGAATGCGTTCAAAATACAATCTAAATAAAGGAGAAAAGCCAACAGATGTTAGCATAATTAGGAGGACAAATCAAACTGACTAATGAGGAATATAC